CATTCCGTACGCGTGTATGGCACTCGAAGTCTGATTGGTTTAAATTTTAAATCTGGCCAATGTGATTGTGCTAGGTGCCATATACATGTACGGAATGAATAAATGCCTACCGTATCGTGGACGGCAGCGGCGCAGTTGTTATGCATGTACTAGATATATCATGTCCTCGTCCGTGCGTTGATCAACAGACGGCGGTGATAACAGTGTATGTTCAATAATTTAAAAAATTTATGAGTTACTTTCAGCATGTTTATAAAAATTTGTTTATAGTACTTAAAAAATATACTGCTGGACACTTGAACTTACACATACAGATTTTCACGCAAAATTCAATTTTATCGCCCCGTACCTATATCATAACCCTATGGTCCTATGAGAAATTTACGGCAAGCTTTATCCGGAAAAACAGGCTATTAAAATCCACAAACCAAGTTAAAAAAAAATTATTCGTGTCGAAAATATGAAACTCTGAATTTTGTCTAAAAATCTGTATGTGAAAGTTCGAGTGTTCAGCAGTTTAGTATACCGGAACAACCGCTTCTGAGATATGACTAAAATGTTCGTTCGTTCTTTCACCCTTACTACAATTTTTAGCGCGCTGAGAATTCTCAATCCAGCAGGCAATTCGATTTCCATTTATTGTCTTCATCTTGTAAGTAAGCATGAGCGCCTCGTACGCACTCGTACGGAAATAATTGTTAAAACCACTTTTCAAGTCCTGAGAACTCAAATGACATTGTGGCTCTAACATTGTCATTTCCTTGTCGCCTGGGTTGTACAAAATACCTATTCGACAAAGATTATAAGACGAGTTTTATTCAAAAACAAACATAGGGTTAGCAATTTATTAGCAAAAGCTGAAAGAAAAACATACAAAAGTTAAAATCGGCATTTTTAAATTAAAAGAGGGGAACGAAATGCAGGAACAGGCCGTACAAGCACTCGACAGAAATTAAGCGCATATTATTGGGATACAAGAATAAGAGATGAGATGCTTGTTGTTTGGTTTTGCGGTCTATTAGACGCCAAATCAGCGAGGAGAAAGGGCTTTCATTTGGGAGACTGCGCCACATAATATAAGATCAAACGGGCTCGTAGTCCTTTGGCATTCAAACGTGAAACCTTTTGATGGTTCCAAACGTGCATCATTCAAACGAATCACATGGAAGCCTTTCACAGAGATTGTCTAATTTTTAAAACACTAAAAAATTTTAATCAAATAGTATTTTTGTTATATGATTTGTGATGATAACGTCGTATTAAAAAGAACGTAGGAAACTTTTACGTCGTTTATAGATTAGGTATAAGATCGCTGTCTATAGGGCTTATGTGAATTTTGATACAACCTTGGCGAAGTTTAATTAGACCCTACCTCATTGATTTTTATAGTGCCTCAAGAAGACTTAACTCATAAAGGTAATTTTTTTTCTAGACAAGTTAAATTTCTGCGCTATCCCTACCAGAGCTGCAACAAGTCAGTTTTAAAAAGACTTAAATCTTAAGTCTTAAGCTAATTCTAAAATCAAAATGATTTAAATCTTAAATCAATTCTAACATAAAGTTCAAATTATTCAAGTCTTAAGAGTCAGGTCTTTGACTTAGAGTACCTATTTTCTCTCAAGTCAAGTCATTTCCGTAATGACTATTAAGTCAGTATAATGTGGTTTAAGTCGTTTTATAACTTAAATCCTTCAGTAAGTCATTTCATTGACTCAAGCCTATAAGTATTTTTCATTTAAATTATGATGAGCTGACTGAGATCAAAAAATTTGACTTAGGTCAAGAAAACGAGAATTCAATTTAAGTACCTTTTTCCAAAATAATATCAATTTTTGATTAAATTTGATAAAATATATGAAAAATCTGATTTAATTTTTTTCTGAAAATACTTAAATATTTTATAAATTACTTAAATAATTTATAGACTGTAGCCTTTTATAAAGACTTAAATCTATTTTTTGACTTAAATCGTTTTTAGATGACTTAAATCGTATGTAGGTATTGATTTAAGCCATTAAAATGATTTAACTAAAAAAAAAAAGACTTAAATTTTCTGAGAGTTTGCAGCTCTGATCCCTACATATTACAATGATATGCATTTCACGACGTACCCATTAATTTGTTTTCTATTTAACCGGAAATGACTTAACACTTCTTATTTTGAACGGAAGACATTTCTCCTTATCTCAATCTCAATGGAAATTAACACACCACCAAGTAAATCTTCGACGAATCAGCAGTTTCAAATTCTTGTCCACGTTTTACAGAAGGAAACAAAGATTTTTAGACATAATTAGGGAAATTGCTGAGAAAATATACCAATCAAGAATGAAAAAAAAATAGTCCACTTGACCGCTAGGCGATTTTTTGTAAAATGATAACCACTTCATGGAATATCAGCAGACAGCGAAATAAGCCATTATATGACAAATTATAGGGAAATAAAGGTTTAAAAAAAAAAACTAGGCAGTAGGCACTGAGAAATAAAATAAGTCACTTTTCTTTCAAGATTTGCTTTGTTTGTTCAAGAAAGAGATGCTTTTGGTAAAAAAAAACTTGAAATCTGTGAATGAGAAGAAGTAAATGAGACCTGTGTAGTAAAACTCAACTGTGTCCTATCTTATTTAAGTAATCTTAAAAGTTTATCAAACTAGCAACGGTTTCGAGCTATTGTTAGGTCTCGTCAGTGCAACATATGCATAAGCATTTCAAATCAGAGAAAGAGGTTTAGGCCTCGTACAATCCTGGTTTAAGTGTGGTTCAAGATTTGAGCTAAGCTCAACTGAGAAAAGTAGTTGTACAAGTATGGTTTATCCTAAAACCTGGTTCAACAGCATGAGTTGAACCCGCTGAACCGTCAAAAACGGAGGCTTAAACCAAGGTTTTAGATAACATAACCACAAATTTTGAATTTTGTATATAAACGAAAATGATTCAGTTGCGTTTATCAGTTTTTGGGGTTTTGAAAAATAAATTTTCAAGTATTACTTGGTGACCTTACAGATGATAAGGATTTATTGGAGGTCCTGGATGTTCTTCGGAATGCTCGCAGAATGCCAAAGAAATTCAGTAAGAGACCTGATTTCTTTGTTATTTTAAGTGATAACGAATTTATCCAGAAATTTAGGCTTTCCAAAATTGCTGTGCGCTTCGTACTTATCAGAATAAGGAATCAAATAGTCTCGCCCACCGAACAGAGTGAGTAGAAATATTGATAATACATATTCTAACAATAATTTCGCTGAGTAAACTTGAACTCATTTTGAATTTTGCAACCTCAGTTTTTTAATGATAAAGCGAGCAATGAAGTGTAAAAATATTCATTGTTGGCATTACCAATTCGTTTATTTTCACCTTTCAGATACCATGCTGTAGCTCCAGTAGAAGAGATGTTGCTTTAAGATATTATGCTAAGGATAACTTTTTGCAAACTGTTGGAGACCTAGTAGGAGTTGACAAGGGTACAGCAAGCCGTATATTATAGAAAGTTACAAGAGCTATTGCTGGTCTCTACAATGAATTCATTAAAATGCCAGTCATCGAAGATGATATAAAACGTGTTTCTCAAAAGTTTTATAGTGTTGCAAGACTTCCAACATGCATAGGAGCTTTGTACTGCACACATGTGAAAATATTATCACCTGGTGTTGACTATACAGAAGTTTATCGAAATAGAAAAGGGTTTTTTTCATATAATGTGCAGGCGGTGTGTGATGCAGAGTGGAGAGTTTCAAGATTGCGTACTGGTTGTGATAGTGGCTATGGAATAAGGAACTACCTGATAACTCCACTTGCAAATTCAACAACTCGAGGAGAAGTGCTCTTTAATGAATCTCAAATTCGAACCAGAAGCTGTATCGAGCGGAAGTTTGGACAATGGAAACTTAGATTCCCTATACTGTCATTTGGTATAAGATTAGACACTCGAAAAGTAGAAGCAGTAGTCATTGCAACTGCTGTACTTGAAAACATAGCAAAGTTGTTAAACGACCCTGATCCCCCTGTTAATGAAGAGGAAGAAAATGCCATTAATTTTGTTAATGGAGTAAATGTGGATCCATATATGGACCTATATTGAAGAGATTTTTTTTGTTATATATAATCCTTATTTTTTACTTTCAGCAAAGTATGTTGTTTCCCTAAATATGATATTTCTTTTTTGATTCTGTTCTGCTCTGTCAAGCCTAATATTATTTGCTCCTGCTCAGCTACAACCTTTGCAATCCTGGCATCCGACTCTTTCTTGATTGCCTCAATTTCAGCATCATTTCTTCTGCATTATTTCTAATTTCAATGAATGCCCTTCTTCATTGTGTTTAATTTTTACATTTTCAAGTTCACCCGTTTAGCCTCATGTCCCGCCCACTGAGTTACTTTGCTACACATACCGACATACTCATTCCTGGGATTTTAGCAGATATCCCTGGAAAACTAAACATTACAATTTTAACCTCACCCATGTCCGTATATAAAGTGCCTAAATATGTATAATGAAGTATGAACAGATTCAACTTCTTTTATATCCAATGTGGAAGCTAATTACAAGTGGTGAAGGTACTCAGTTTAGAAGAGTACTCCCATTCCTTAAAGTCATATGTCTTGCTTTATGATAGGTTTTTTTAGCTCATATGGACCTTATGCATAATGAAAATATTTGAAGACAGGTAATTAGTTAATAATTGAGAAATGAAAAAGAAAAAAGTATTTACTGTAGGTATTACCTTCTAAAATTGAACATTTGTAATATAATATTTAGAAAAAGATGTCTATTTTAAGGAACACCCTTGTGTTTATTATTATAATTTTGGATATCACTCAAAATATTCTAAGCTCATTGCATTTCATGATGTCCCATAGCTTAATTCAATTTCCAAAATACTGTTAGAAATTTATAATTTTGCAAGAATTAGTTAACTGTTTGCTTAACTGTACTGTAGATATTGCTTACCCTTAGCATTCAGTGTCTTTGGTTTTGGCTTTCTCAAGCTCTGAACCGTATTCTACGGCCAAGGTGTATTTTCCTCTAAAATATCTATTTTATCCATAGTATCATCCACATCCATATTCTCCCTGCTTTTATCGACTAAAAATTACACTATAATACTATAATCATCAACAAGCTCTTGAAGTTAAAACACAATCATAAGAGAGCCAGTATTGAGAACCAAACAGTTACAATTTATTTTAAATAAATGAAGTGGAAATAAAGTCAGCTAGTGCCTAGTTGAATACTTGTCTGAGAGGATATTATTACTCACCAACTGTAGCACCCTCTAATACCACCAGAACTTCATCACTTGCAATATCGATATCTCTTTCAATATCTTTGACCCTGGCTTGAAGATCAGTCATATCAGATTCATCATCATTGATTTCTACTATAAAAGTATTTATAATTTAGGCCTTCGCAAGACTATAGACTAGTCTTGGTCTTGTCTTGGTCTTGGTAACAAGACCAAGACCAAGACTCTCGCTCAAGAGTCTCGTCTTGGTCTTGGTCCTGAAAAGGAAAATTGACTCAATATTTATTAAAATCTGCAAATTTCTATATGTAGGTACTTTTGATAAGTCTTTCAGTGAATTTATTATTGCCACTCTACAATTTACACGTAGGTACCTATAGGTGGTACATAATTTGTTTGTTTCAGATGTCTGGTATCTACTTCAGAAAAATAGCATAAGAACAAGGTGAATGTTGATTTTAGTTTACAAAGCACTTGAATCTTGATAGTAATTCGCCGATTGGAATTCATAGCCAATGAAATTGATCCAAATGCCGAAACCGAAAGCAAGCCCAATAAAATAAAGAATTAAATTAGATGCTCCATTTATAAGGATTTTTTAGCGACTAACCGTTTGTAACCGTGTTATGAAATAAAATTAGGTCTTTTCGGAAACGTTTATCCGATTAACCCGATCACCAGCTGTATGTTTTTTATCTTTCTATGAACTCGACTGAAAAAAGCGTTTCCGAAAAGGCCTAATTTCAGTTAGGTACCGTTTATAACACGGTTAAAAACGGTAAGTCGCTAAAAATTCCTTTATGTATAAGCAATATACAATTTCTATATGATATATGTATATTTTAAATACATACCATCTAGCTCATTATTTTGTGCATCATCCCCAAATTCTGAATTCAAACCTTCTACCTTAACGCCCAAAATGTCTCGTATCTCGAAATCAATTTCAAACAGAATTTCTGGTGGAGGGCCACCCCCAGTGCCCATTGCATAGGTTTTTGACTCCCTTAGCTTTTTGCATGTTTTCTTTTTCAAGTTTTCATACTTTTTTCTCAGGTCTGTAAGTTATTTCTCTCCTGCACTCCTGTTTCGTTTTTATTGAAATTTGAGTCAGTTTGTTTATTTTCTAACACATGCTTGTAGGCTATAACCAGGCCCATCAAAATGGCCTCTTCTTTGTTGGTGAAGTTGGGGGCTCTCTTGCCACTTTTTTTTTTCGTTTGTCATCCATGAAATCAATTTCAAATAAATAATTTTACTTGCCAAGATTCACAAGCCACGCCACAAAAAATGCTCGATGCAGACAAAAAAGCGAAATAGGAGAAATAAATAGAAATGGAAATGGAAATGGCTGTTTATTTTTAGGTTAGTCTGACAATATATTTTCGTTTCTATGTCATTCTGTTCTGGCAATAGACAAATTACACTGTTGCCAGATCGATTAGTGGATAAACGCCACTCAACTGAAGAAGGTTTAACTTTTTGTTGTACAACGGTTCATGCATCCTGAGCCAAGTTCAACAACTGAACCAGACTTAACAGAACTATGGCTTAAACTGCGTTTGTACAACTGGGTCTTAAAGGAGATTTCAACGACAAGGAATAGGCCTATTATAGCGTGGCTCCCTCTCTCTCTCTCTTTGTTCTCATACAAAGCAAAACCCCAGAAACGACTATAGTTTCCGCAATCAACAAGAAAATGATGGCGCTGATGGATCAGATGTAAAAGTGAACCATAAATCTGGTGATAAGCAACGGCAGATCTGGCAAATCAATAGTATGTCTACAACATAGTGAGCTAAGAGATGTCACAGCTTGTGGTGTCCAGGTTATGCAGAGATGCCAGGCTGCGAACAATACAGAAATGGCAATATAGATAGAATGAGAACGAAACTGAAGAATGTAGATGGATAAAGAAATTGATACACGATATAGATGAATGGAAAAACAGGAAGCATGGGGACGTAAACTGCTTCCTGACACAGGCATTAACAGGACATGTCAGTTTCAGGACCTTGGGAAAACTAACGATAATGAATGTATCTACTGCTGAGAGACTGACACGGCGCCACTCACAATTTTTCATTGTCGAAACTGGGAACCAGAAAGAGAAGCATGCTATGAGAAAATCGTTATGAGGCTCACACCAGAGAACATGACCTAAGCAATGATAGAGGACAGCCATAAATGGAATGGAATAGACCAGATGATAGGGAACATATTAAAACAAAAGAGCGAGGGTGAAAGGGAACACGAAAACGTTCAAAATAAACAGAATAACACCCCCCGCACCATCCGAAGTAATGCGAGAGCGGTTCCAGTTGAGTGGGATGAACCAGAGGGGACAGGGTTTTAGTCGGTCGGCGCTCTACCAACCCGACACTCCCCCCGTCACTTGCTAGAAGATCAGGCAGCTCCGCGGTGAACAAAAAACAGGCGGGGTAGCCCAACGAACAGATTTCCTAAACCCCCAGTGTCTGCAGTCTACAATTTCATGAAAATTGGAGATGATGATCCAGATCTACACCTAAAATAACAGAAATGCTAGAGCGTCGTTATGAGGATAAGCATTGACGACAGCTTTCCAAGGTACAACTAAGAAGACAACAGGAATCTACCGACAGCTTACAAGAATTATTCGAGACCGATATCCGCCGTAGGGTTAATTTGGCATACCCGGAAGCAGCAGCAAACATACCAGCCCCACTAGCAGCTGAAAATGTCATAAATAAAATAAGACATGTGGATGTACAGAGAATGCTGCTGATAATTAAACCATCAAGTAGCAGCGAAGCGCTAATCAAAGCGATCTATAAGAGATCCGAATAAAGATCAGAGATATGTCAATGCGAGAAGAAAGAGAACTAGTAGGAAAAATCATTGAAGACTCGATGAACGAAATTAGGTAGGTAGAAGGTAGGTAAAATACGGATGCAGGCCAGAAGCAAGACAGAGAACTTGAAAGGGGACACCGAATGTTATCGCTGGAGTAGAAGAGAAGATTAGAGGCGTAAGTGATTTAGTAGGACTGAGATATCGTTCTCCTTTTAGGGAATTCTGTTGTGGTATGTATTTATATAAGCAATCATATTCACATGATTCCAAGGGACTTTCCTTAGGTATAGTTAATTTGTATGTGTAGTTTGTAGGCTAGAAGTCAGGTTGAATGAGAGATTTGTTGTGTACAGTTTAGTAAAAGCGATAAGTGATCAGAAAATTTTATAACATCAATTTTTGTTGGGTTTATCACGAATTTTCTCCATTTTTTTCCCCAGTTATCTCTATTTTTTATCGAACGCTTCACCGTTCCTATTTCGCCTTCAACTTCCTGTCGGATCGATTATACCCCGTCTTTGACCTTACCTAAATATATCCCATTTGACTTCTTCTCGAACTGTTTCTATTTCGCCCTTGACTTCTTGTCGAATGATCTGGAACCATGCGGCGAAACTGGCAATATCTTTCTGTATTTACTCTCTTTCTTCCTGTTTTTCTTTAAGTCGTAACTCTTATTCTTCTTCCTGTTTTTTTTTGTCTGTCAAAATCTGACGGTCACTTACTTTTTAATCGTTTTTTTCATAATATAGGAACTGTGAATGGCATTTTGTTACGGCTAAAACGGAAAACTGATAATAGGAAACTAGAACTACTAAGCAGAGCCAAATTTTAAGAACTATATGTGATTTCGAATAAATCTTTCCATTTCCCGGAATTAGGATTATTTCCACTCCTAGAGCCACCACTAAACTATATGGCTGGCAATTTTCCCATCCAAACTCACAAAAGTACACTTATATTTTACGGACCTGTATTAAAACTGCGCCCTGAAACTGTTAAATTCTTGGTAGGTAATTATTATTCCATGTAGTGTAGCTGCATATTTAAACCAATAACCCCTACCTATTTAAAATGCCTCAAAGCCACCACATAAATTCACAAAACTTAGGTATACCTATTAGGGAAGAACATATTAAATTAGCATTAGCATTATCCTAATAGAGTAGTCGCGAAGTACAGTCTGTGGAAGCTGTTTGCTCGAATTTTATTGGTCCTACCGTCACACTAATAGACAATTGCGAATGGTCATTTATATTCCCTTTTCCCGCAGGTCACTCTTGGCGGATGACAAGTCCAGCTAAATCAGGACAGTCCGAAAATTGTTTATTTGATATCGGTGATTACCTATGTCGATCTAAATATGCTATATCATTGTGTGGAAACCGAACTTTTCTATTTAAATATTGCCTAATTTCGAATCTGCGCAAGGGCAATGGAATTCTGGATTGGTTCAGCTGCAAGCTTGAACAAATCTATTTTAAAAGCTTTTATGTTAACATTTTAACTAAGTGAGCGAGCTTATGATCACACGGAGCCTGGACTAAATAAATATTAATGTCTTTGTCGCAATAACGATCCGGCTGGCCATGCCACGACCAAGTCTCGGGAGACCGATCCATTCTGGTCTCAGGAGATATAAATCCAAATCAATTACACCCCAAGTAATTAGAATATGCATCCGTGGCATACCTCCTTTGCTCCCTCATCTGTGCCTTGTCGTATCACTTCGTCGGCTAATTTATTTTAGGTGGCAAACTTCAGGAAAGTAGGTACTTTATCGTCTTGAATTTATGATATAAAAAAATATACATTCACTTATTATCGGAAAGTTGCGAAATAGGGATGGGTTTCATAAAAAAGATGTATAAAGTGCGAATTAGGATATACTGTAAATAAATATAATAATAAACTCAACCGGCCGCGAAATAGGTTTTCGCTACCCTTAACGTGCAAAATTATACAGTGTATACCATTTAAAACGAAACAGGCTAAATATCTGATGTCACTTTTATCTATTTTTTAAATCGCTCGTATACGTAATTTGATTGTGTGAGTGTTTGAAACATTTTCAGCACTAACTTGACCCTCTAGGAGGGGGGTGGGACCAACCCTTACGATTCCAAATGGAACAGGGGTCGAGTGATACCTGTTTTAAAAGAACGTTCAATTTTCTTTCAAATGACATCAAATGAAAGAGAATTGAAGGCTCTTTCAAAAGAGTTATCACTCGACCCCTTGTTCCATTTGAAAT